GCATGTGACAAACACAGATAAACATAAACAGTACCACAGATATTATTAAATATATGTTATATCTTTGACATTCATGCATTGCTATTCCTAGAGAGTAATGTGAAATGTTTCCACCGTCTGTGTAATTAATAGGTTAGGAAATTAACTTTACTAATTAAAAATTATTTATAGAATTTTTAGAATATTCTAGAACTTCAATCATAAGACTATGACTAAAATTCTATTGTGGGACATATGTAACAGTTGACAATAAATTGTCAACGGACTCGAAACTAATTTGGTGAAGGTTGGGTTGGGTCTCCCACACAATGTTTCAATAACAAATATTAAATTTTGAAATGTTTTTCATTTGAATAATTTAGCAATGATATCAAATATAGCACACAATAAGAATCTCAGACTGAGTGTATATTATTTATTTTTCTTTTAATAGTGAGATTCTGAATTTTTTAATATGCAACTTCCTAAGGTTTGAAGAATGATTTATGTTCAGTTGTATGTGTTAGTTAGTCACTTTATACCAAGAGAAATTCTAGCAAATTGTAGTTCTTTTTGTAGTGTATGATACATATAATGGTTTTATTCTTTTAACTATGATATCTCCAAGAAAGAATTCTATGAGTAGTAGAAGACAAATAATCTTGTAGGTACTAAGATGATTATTATTATTAATTTTACAAGGTGAACTTCTATAGTCAACCTTTATTAATTTATAACATGTACATATATTACAACATTTATATGAAATATAATATTCTATTTGAACAAAGACAGTCTTTCTTTAATACAATTTTGTGTTTTTATTTATCAAATTTTAATTTGGTCATAAAAAACACATGTGTGGTTAAGTCCATTGTATAATATGTTTATTCATTATGTTGTCACTATGGGGAAAACATATTGTAACCAAAAATGAGACTAAATCCATGTTAATGATGAAACATTATCAATACAGAACCAATATGGATGATCCTTTTCTAATTGTAATGAGTATTTAACAAATAGATCATTAACTCTTTAAAAATACTATTATGTATAATTATTATTAGCATAAATATGCTAATAATACTATAATATAATTAACATTAAACATAATACAAACATATTAAGAGGCTACCTTATAATTGTTTCTAAGTGGACAATAAGGATAGTGATAAAAAAGTATCATTATATCATTTAAGTTATATGGGCCTTTCTCTACTAACTGGAAACTTGTCTATTGAAATTTGTCCCAACCTATTTTTCAACAAAATTAAAAATATAATATGTTAAATCGATAGATAGTCATAATGTAAATGCATATGAACAAGAAACCATTGTAATTTTCCCTTATTTTTAGAATTATAGGCAACTTTGTAAAAAAATGCGGCAGAGGACTGTTTTGCCACCCAGAGTACTGTTTTTTCCACCCCGAGGACAGTTTATATCAATGTTTATTTGAAGAAAAACACAATATTAATTATTCATTGCAATCAAATAAATTTTCTTCTTTATTTAATACTGTATCACATATAGAAATTTTCGTTTTCATCGCCTCTGAATGTGTGTCCTTTAGCATCACATTTACAGTAACAATTTTTAAGAAGGTTACTGTTAGTTCGCCTTCTTCCGTGTCTATGTATCAGCATATTCAGTGTTTCTTACTAGAAATTTAACCACGATGTAATCACCAATCATGCAATCAAGATGTGATAGTGTAATTCTGTTGGTTGATTGAACTAGGTCCAGCCAGTACAACGTCGTTGTGGGTCTCCATTGTGGAATCCTGTGAGTTGTCCATGTTTTCACTTTCAGAGTCTGTGTAAATATCATCTACGTTAAGTTTTGTCTTGTTTTTGTAACTAACACTAAATTGAAATGCTGGCACTCGTCTTCACAAGTGCAACTTAAACTTTTCATTATGAGTTTCGCGGTACTTGGAGCTAATTCCAGAGGACTTCTTAATGTTTCAGCCTTAACTTGATGTATTTTTATAGAGCCATTAAAGTTTTTTAAATTAACTGTTTCATTTTGAATGTCGTCTGTCAATTCTTGGATGGCTTTATCGTCAATCGTGAACAAGTTAATTGCGGAACATCTTCGTTGAATAGCCTCTATACTAATGTCTCAATATCACCTCCTGTAGTGACGACGACATCAGCGGTTCTCTTGCAGGTCTCCCCAATGCCAAGTTTTTGACTGCTTCTATGCGAGCTTCTGGCGAATCACGCATTTGGGTAAGTTTAGTGTTAGGTGTGTCTACATTTTCCTTTGTCTTAGCTTTTTCCAAACGTTCTAATCTCTTCCTATATTTCTCGGATTTTTTTCAGTAATACTCCAACTTTTTGTCTTTATCCTTTACAATTTTGTTACGTTTCTTTCTAGCATTACGCTTTCTCGCATTAATAGCATCACTTCGCGGAGTGGTCATATGGTATTTTTTCGTACAAAGTTGTTTGTAATTTCTTTCAAAGCCTTTTTTTGCCTGCGCGAAAGATAGCACAGTGCTTTCTCTATTCTTTAGTCACAGCTTTGTGTTTACGTCGACTCATATCATGAACTGACTTTCTTGTACCTTTTTCCCTCTTTCATTGGTAGTTTCGACGTACTTTTTCCTTCAATGGCTCTCTTTTTACTGGGTCATTTTTTAGCCGTTGATGTCTTAATCTTCCTGCAATTCGTTTCTGCTCTTCTATTTCTTCTTTGGTTTTAGGTTTCTTCTTTGGTGACATTGCGGCAATTCTTAAACAATAAAACATACTTTCAATATATAAAAAACCGTAATGGTTTAGTTACTAGGTACATATTTCATTTTATATTCTAAAATCCATAATAATAGAAAAAAAAGACCTGAATTAGCGGAACAGGCTAATGTAAGAAAGAAAGACGCTATTGGCAAGCAGTAGTTTAGTGCAGACTATAAAGACTATTAATAAAGTACACGGACGTCAAATAAAACAGTCCTCTGTCCCATTAAACAGTCCTCTGTATTATAAATTTCCAGAGGACTGTTGTACAGAGGACTGTTATTTTTACGTAAAAATGTCATACCACGTATCGGTTTAAATATTACTTCAAAACACAGAAACAGGTCTAAATTATCACTCTGAGCAATATTTTTATTAAATAAATATAATTATAACACATAAAACACTGTAAAATAGACTTACCAGAGGAATGTTCACTCAACATTACAGAGACGTGGCTCCCACACAGACGCGAAGTTGTCACTGCGCAAAATCTTGGAGACTTGTTCAGCATGACGACCGAGTAACCTTCACACTGTTAACGTTCCATTTCACGCGAAATATACCCATAATAGTGTTTAATATTTTTGTGGCGCGATATTCAAATTGTGACAGTGGACTGTTCACAAATATATCGGACAAAATAACACTACCTTTTAGTAAAAAAAAAATCTCTAAAATTATAATTGTTTTTTGTTCACATGCATTCAATATTCTTTATGTTCATAGACTTATAAGATTTTACATTTTTAATAACAACTAATAAAAACCGAACCCAATCATACTCGATCCGGAATTAGGACAAAACAGAGGACTGTTTTTAGTGACTTTCAGACCAATTTTATGAAATAATTATGATTCTAAATATTGATTAAGCTTGGCTCCTTAAATAACAGGTTATATATTATGTGTTTTAATAAATAAAACTATGCATTAATATAGGCAAAGTAAAAAAAAATGCTTGGACCATGATTTTCCTGTTAGTGGAGAAAGGCCCATATAGATATAGATTATTTATTTTATATGTATGCTAATCTGTAAGGAATATATAATATGGCTTAAAATTACATTAATAATATTAAGTTGCCTAAACAAAAAATAAGTAACCGAAACTGTTCTAATAGATGAAATAGCTTTGACTCTAAATTCAAATTAAGAACACTCTTTTTCTATGCTAATTGAGAACATAACATTGAAAGACCACTATTTGCTGTAGTTTTTTTTTCGTCAAATATACCCATAATAAAATATAAAACAAATGATGCTATTCTATATGATATGCTTCCAGATAAGTACATTAGCACCCTCTACACTTTAAATTCCTTTTAAAAATTATCCAAATCCCCTTATACATGAATTTATTTAATATTATGTATACTAATTCAATTAAAAACACCAACACTATATCTTTACAAGTTCAAAAAGCAAAAATATGTATTACTACAGTTGATCCAATCATCACTTGATACATGATTGACTATTATGGTAACAGACATTGCCTAAAAAAACTTTCAGCCATAAGGCTCTCCTATTGTATTTAATTTCCTGTATCTCTATGAAGTATTGAAATGTATATACCTTAATTGTATAATACAATAAACAAATAAGTAATCTCTAATTAATCCTTTATGGACAAGCATATTTACAAAATTAAAAGTAGCCTAAAACACAAGATAAAGATGAACACTATTATTTCAATCTAAAGATATAACAGGCTTAGTTTCAGGTTATAAAGTGAAATTTTTATTGCATTTTATGGAAAGTTCTCTAATATACTGATAAGATAAATATAGAAAGTGCATTGTGAACAGCAGGCATGGTAAAACCGTAGGTATGTGTGCCCATACGTCATTGTATAAATTAAAATATGGAAGCTGTCTCAGAAGGAACAAAATTCCTCTAGCCACCTCAAACCAGAAGAAATAACCGTGAAATTGTCTTAGAAAGTAAAAAAAAAGAAAATACATGTAACGGTAGTGCTGCAATAAGGAGTAAAATTCGTCGGATGACAGCCAAGGTAGGTATAAGGCCGTACTTGCATTCCAACCAATGCCCAACTGGTAACTATTACGCTAATTTTAGAACATACCACGACGGGAAAAAGGTGTCCAAATAAAGATGAAAAACAAAACATTTGGAGTGCGTCGGACATCTCATTGCGGAATTTCTCGAACACGGACCCACGTCGTGAGGCCACGACGCGATTTAGGGTTAGGCAATTTTCAATCACATACTACACTAAAATGGCACGTTTCAACTATATTGCACATATACCTTTACTTTCAGCGGTTTCGGAAAATTCTTTCACGTCACCAACCATCTTGCTGGATGACAGTCACTCACTAAACACTTTTTATTCGAACATATTTCGAAAACTCATACTTGATTCACTATTTTCAGACAGCCAGCCAGCGATCTATACTACAACTCTACAACACTTCGTTCCGTTCACTGCCAATGACGTGCGGCCGTCGAGCGATGAGATGGCGATCGGAGACACACGCGAGCAACCTTCAAAACAAAATGTCAAATAGATGTTGCTTTTAGTTATTGTCTCTAAGTAGTAATAATATATTTACAAATAATTATCAATATCCTTATTAAAAGTTATTAGCTGTAATAAATTATCTTTATTGCATTATGTAACCAACATTAACAGCTGTGCTGCTGTGTATCTGAGTCATATAGTTTATTAAAAAAAATACTGACTTAAGTAATAATTACATTGCGTGTTTACTTTGAATAACAAGTAATATGACGTTGAAAATAAAGCGATGTAAATCAAACTTTCCTACATTGATGTTCGTATGACTCCATCTAGTGGCCAATGTAGAAATGGCACCTGGAATGAAAAGTAAAGAAGTGATATTAAAACTATTAGTTATATTTTTAAACACAAGTGTTTTTATTCTATAATATTATTATTTGAATTAATTATTTATAGTAGTTCTAAGACAATAATCTTGACAGGACTAGGAGATATAGGAGATTACGCCATCTATTGGAATTTACAGTAAATCACTTAGTAAAATGTTCTTGTGTTACAACAGATATTAAAGCAGAGCTAGATAACTGATGTTATACTACAGATATTGTTTGCTAATAGACCAATAGATGGTAGCCTCAAATATTAAAATAAAATTTATTTTAGAACAAGTGTTTAAATTATTCAGTATTTGAGAAATCAGTTAAACCAAAGAATACAACAATTTTTTTCCTACACTTTGGTAGTGATTACCATAATATAACAGATCTTGGTTACACATGATTCAAAGAGTAGGCATATAGTAATTGTAGAGGAACGTGGTTCTACTGACTTTTCATAAATTGAATTACTTCGTCCTTGGTCAAAGGGTGTAGTAATTCAATATACTATACAAAAAAAAAACTATCATGTCTTAATTAGCATAATATTAAAAAATATTCATCAAAGTTGTTTATGGATTGGCAACGTTATTGCGACATTATAAACAATTAAGTGTAGAACTTTAATTTATGAAGTCGGTTGAAAAGAGAAATCGAAGCATTCCTCCTTCCGACCTTCATGAAGTATCTGTCTTCACCGGTGCAGTTCTTCCTCAGGATGTGCGTCCGTTGAACTAATTCGATGGCCAGCAAGATATGACTGAACTATTGGTTGATGTTTATGTTATTAAGAGTCTTAATTGGCGATTGTTTTTTTCTTCTTTTTTATGTAATTGGAATAGTACGCCAGCAGACTACCTACTACTACCTGATGGTAAACGGTAACTGTCAGCTATATACATGACAGGACTTTATCACACCAATTATTCTCCTCAATTGGATCTATATACAGAACTGGACGGTAGAGAAAAAAATTATAATGAAAAAAATTTTACGTTCATAAGCGGCTAAAATGACCTAAATGATTTTTGAATTTTATTTGTTGCCATTCCAGAAGACTCTCTTATCTCATAAAGGTGAGACGTGGCATCCATGAACACGACTTTTACAGTCTACTTCTGCTATTAGAAAAGGCCCTCCTTTTCCAATCCGATATTAAACTAATCTTCAGTATATAAATTGATATGACGTCATTCATACGTTATTTACGTAGTGATTATTATTTGGATAATAGTTTTCGCAGAAAAAGTATGCCACTGTCCTACATAACCTGTTTTTTAATTTCATTTCCGATTACAACTGACTGGAAACATCAGTTAAAACATTAAAGGCGGATGTAGACCGTGCAAGTTCGCACTTCCACGGCGCTGCGTGACGTCACACTCATTATGTCTATGTCTGGTGGGCATAAACAAATTATCTAGCTTTTTGCACAATGCTTTACGTTTTCAAAACTCAGGGCTTGCACCAGAGGATATTTTTATAAAAATTGCAATGACACCACAAGTGTGATAATTTTTTTTTAATTATTCTAATGCTGTTGGCCGCAGCTGGATTTTGCAGCTTCACCGAATGATACAGTGCGAATGCAGATGGCACTACAAAACCGCGGAAGAACTTATAGAGAGGCTGAAGGCTATACATATTATTTGCTTGACAAATATGATTTTAGTCTGAGGGCACCACTAGGGATTGGAACCTCGGCTGAGGCTGTCTTAATTTCGATCCTCGTTTGAATTGGATGGGTGATCGATTTGAGGGGCGCGAGGGAGATAAAGTAATCTACAAAATGCAAGAAAACTTAGGAGAATATTTGTACATTTTATCTTTAAGAAGGAAATTGATTGAACAATCTGGCCAAATAAATCTCCATACAAATTGGTTCACTTGACCATTTTTTTTTACTTTAAAAATATTCAAAATATTTATAGATTTAAACACAATACGTCACAGTACAGTTCAGACGATAATAAAGATAATAATAAAAATATATATAATTAAAAAAAAAACAATTATGTAGGAACACAATTGTTTTTTTTTAATTAATTTTTTTAGATGCTGGAATGGTGATCCAGGAGATAACCGATGATGTTGGAATAGTGCACCCGCCGATGCGAACGATATACTGGCGGGGCACCAGTGGAGGATGATAAGATGAACATGAGGTCAGATCGGGTAGCCCATCGTAGCGAATTTATGGAGACACTCATGCACTAAAGTGTGGGGGATAGGGGATTGTTAGTAATGTGGACTGGTGATCTTATTGCTAGCAATGTACCATATCAGGTTAGGTTAGGTTACCCCAAGCTCACCCTATCATCCTCCACTGGTGCCCCGCCAGCGTTAGCGCAGGCTGATGCACTGTGATATAGTGATGCAAATCAGCACGTTCGATAGTAGATTGTGCCAGTGTACGTTTTGTATAACGACACGTAGGTCACGCAGTACCTCATATATATAGTTTATGTAATTAGTCTAAGCTAGAGTAATTCAAGATGTAACAGTTAATATACAGTTACACCCTACTGTGTGTGTTTACTCTCACCACCGCTCCTGTCATCACAGCACCATTCCATTATCATCCTTAAAAAATATGCACTAAAATGTCTGTCAATAAAATATTTTTCTCTCATTTTCTAAGTGCCAATAACAGCAAATAACTGGGGGGAAAGAGAGCTTTTAATAGCAAATAACTAGGTCATTTCTGAGAAAGAATGTAGTTATCTTTTGTGTGAGTCCGTCACTTTGTTATATTTTTTTACTGATATTGTGAAACCTATTATTAGCTATACTATTGGTTTATACTTTCTGTTTTTATGTATTGTGTATGCTGTTAGTTTCAAATAAATAAATAAAATAAAATAAATGTACCATGTCAGGATTCCCCTGGTAACTCTCGTGATAAATTCCTGTTGAATTTGTCACGATGGACATTGACCCGACCTCATGTTCATCCTATCATTCTCCACTGGTGCCCCGCCAGTGTAAACCATTAACGCAGGAGGAGGCATCATTCCATTATCATCAGTTAAAATAAAATAGCAGATAACTAACTGTTTTGATATTAGCAATATGCATGCCATATATATAGAGATTTGATATATGTACATATACATATATAGAGAGTTCAATGTTAATTCGCACGAACCGATTTCCAGTAGAACAAGTCGAAACATATACTGTTACAAATATCGTACACTGGGCGATGAAAAAGTTGAACTGTTTAAAACAATTGGTATTTTATGCCTATGGGTATATTATTATTATATTATAGATTAGCTGTACCCGAGGCATGAAATTTATAGCCAGTTTTATTCTGATGTATAAACTATATTATTAAAGTTTCATTAAAATCCATTCAGTCAGTAGTTTTTGCATGAAGGACTAACAATCATCTCGGTGGTCTAGCGGTCTAGTACACCGCTTTACGACCGATGGTCGCGGGTTCGATTCCTCGCACTGCACAAACATTTGTATTCATGAGTATGATTGTTTGTATCGGTCTGGATGTTTGGAATGAATAATATGTATGTATTTACAAAAAAAAAATATGTATATGTATCAGTTATCTAGTACCCATAAAACAAGCTTTAACTAGCTTAACTTGGGTCTAGATGGCGCTGTGTGAATTGTCCTGAGATTATTATTATTATATTATCCATCCATACTCACAAACTTCCGCGTTTATAATATTAGTAAGATATATGTATGGTTCTTAACAGCCAATATCTACTTCATATTAATATTACATTATATATATTTTAAGAACCTAAAGTTAAAAAGCTTAAAAATATAATATAATGACTAAAATATATTATTAAAAGACCCTTTAAGCAACGTTCCGAAGGTACTGGCAGCGTTCCCTCTTTGAATAGCTAGACTAATTCTTTGTCCAAGCTGCCAGCTCTTCGATCTTCTTTGATGTCGACTAACCTTCTCGTTATTTCTTTGAAAAGTCTTAATTAGTATTATTATTGTATGTAGAGATATAATATCAATATATTTCGAGGATTTTCGCTGACATCATAGAGATCATAGAGTTTAAATTGAATAAAATTGCAAATATGTGTCAAATAAATATTTTTCGATATGTTTTAGAATTGTTAATTGTAGCTGTTGGTTTTCTCAATGAATAGATAAAAAAATGAATGTATAAATATTTGTTTTACACTGTCCTCTTGTCGTAAATAAAATAATATAATAAAAAAAAACACAATTAAATAACAAATAGAATATATAAATGGATCAATAAAATTATATCTATATAAATAATTAGTAAATACATGTAATATTCTTGTTATTTTAGGAAATAAAACGGTTTTTTATTTATATTATTTATTTATCCTCTTGAAACCAGTAAAACATAACGACTTACGATTATAAGAGTCATTTAAAGTACACATTTCAAATTGTAAATGGCAAAGATACAGACATACAAACTTACTTACACTTACATGTGAAAAACATTACGAACTTTTCTTTGGCAATCGGGTAAATCCGAAAATGTCAACCGTCAGGGACTAATGGAAGTTTACAGTTCCAGTTTTTCCCAGACCCTGAGTACGGACAAAGGTATTATGTATTTATAATAATTATTATCCAATACTTATACTATGTAATATTATGTTATCTGTGCTTATACTAATAATAGCTGTCCCGGCAAATGTTCTTTTGCCATTAAATTAAAATCGCTATTAAAAATTAAGGTTCATAGTAGAAAGG